TGAACTTTCTGGGCCGGCGACAGTGCCTGGATGGACATACATCACACCTGCAGCTCCCTCACCCCCCCCCCTCCCCGCTGGAGGACTCCCACGTCCAGACCTCCTGCCATCCATCCTGCAGGCTGTCTGACGTCGGACTGGTGCCCCTCCTGGGTGCGCTGTAGCACCGAGAGAGCAGGAGTGATAATTCTCAAAAATGCACTGTTTGCTGTAAGAACTCTTAGTTTTTCTTTCTTCTTCTGAACACTTCTGCGTTGTGTCTAGCTGTATTCGTAAGATCCTTGGATAAATCTTTTTTTTAAAATATTTTTTCTATTTCATTTATTTAGTTAGTTTTAGAGAGGGGAAAGGGAGGGAGAAAGAGAAACATTTACTTGATTTTACAAAAAAATCAAGTAGCCCTGGCTGGTGTAGCTCAGTGGATTGAGCACAGGCCTGCGAACCAGACAATCGCGGTTTGATTCCCAGTCAGGGCACATGCCTGGGTTGCAGGCCAGTTCCCTGCAGACCAGTTCCCAGCAGGGGGCGCATGAAAGGCAACCGTATATTGATGTTTCCCTTTCTCCTTCCCCTCTAAAGATAAATAAATAAATAAAATATTAAAATGGTTTCAATATTTACCAAATTATAACATCCCCATTCTTTAAAAAAAAATGAAGTGAAATTAGAGAAAACGTAATAACATAATTATTAAGATAGATTTAATTAATGTGTATTAAACTTTACCCTAAAAACAGACTACTTTTTTGCATATGGACATGTAGACATTCACAAAGATTGAGCACATAATAAATCATTTTTTAAAGATTTTATTTATTTATCTTTAGAGAGGGGAAGGGAGGGAGAAAGAGAGGGAGAGAAACATCAATGTGTGGTTGCCTCTTGTGCATCTCCCACACTGGGGACCTGGCCTGCAACCCAGGCATGTGCTCTGACTGGGAATTGAACCAGCAACCCTTTGGTTCACAGTCCACACTCAATCCACTGAGCCACACCAGCCAGGGCCATATTTAAAAAATATATATATTCCAAAAAATAGATATAAAACAGACAACATTCTCCAATTACAATGTAAATCAAATCAGAAATTAATAACCAACCTACAAAACAAAAAAGACCTAACTACCTTTACATTTTGAAACTCTTAAACTGTTCTTGGGTTAGAGGAGAAATCAAGTTGAAATTTCAGAATATCTGGAAGACAACCATTATTGAAACACTGCATAGCAGCACTTAAGGTAAACAGCTAAAGCAGTACTCAGAGGTGAATTCATAGCTTTGTGCTTGTGTGTAATATAAACTTTATTTATTTTATTGATTTTAGACTGAGGAAGGGAGAGATAGAGAGAGAAACATCAATTTGTGTTGTAGACCACTCTGCCTGGTTCTAGGAATTGTAACTCTATCCCCCGTGGCTAAGGACCTCTGGAATGCGAGCCGCAGGAGACAAAGCTTGTCTCTGGTGGCAAATGCTGCCTCAGTTTCCTCCCTGCCCCTAAAGCATGGTCGGATGGGTAAGACCCCCATCATGGAAGGACTCGGGGGGCTGCAACAAAGAGCAATGGACTCTCACCCTCACCCCTGGCTTTGAGATAGCCCAAGTCCCCATGTTCTCTGGGAGAAGCACTTCCTGGCTCTAATCCCCTTAAGCCTGAGTACCTGATGGGGAGGGGTGCAGCTCCTTGCCTTGCTAGAGTGTGTCCTGGGGAAAAATCTGGCATCACAAAGACTTCCTGATAAACCTGTGAAATCTGCTCTGCTAAGAGTGCTTTCATTCATATGTTAAGGGTCCGAGCAGGAAACCCTAAAACTCTGCTCCTGACAGACTCTGACTCAAATTAAGCCCTCAGATTTCTTTGAAATGTTATCTACCGTTTGATCCTTGCTGCCCTGTGTTCCTGTGTATTACAACCCAGTAAAAGGCCCTGGAGGAGGGGGCTCAATGCCTTTTTCCCTGAGAAACTGGCAACTGCTCAAGGCCTTTTTCCTCTGGGAAACTGGCCACCTCTCCTCCCCAATCAGATCACATCATCTCTCAGTCATGATTACTCTCATTCGTGGCACACGGGGGGACTTGTGACGAAAGTCGTCCCCACAAATTTGTTGTTCCACTTATTTATGCATTCAGTGTTTGATTCTTTGTTTTTAAAGATTTCATTTATTTATTTTTAGAGTGAGGGAGAGGGAGGAAGAGAGGAAGATAAACATAGATCAACTGCCTCCCGCAGGTCCCCAGCCAGGGACCTGACTTACTTCCCAGGCATGTGCCCTGACAGGAGTTGAACGGTGACCTTTGGGCTTGCAGGGCGATGCCCGATCCACTGAACCACACTAGTCAGAGCTGGTGGATTCTCATATGTGTCCTGACCAGGAATCAAACCCACAACCTTGGCATATTGGGACAACATTCTAACCAACCGAGCTACTCAGCCAGTGCAATTCATAGCTTTCAATACTTACATTAATAAAGTTGAATGAAAAATTAATGAACTAAGTATCTAACTCAAGATAGAGGTAAACATCAATAAAGAAACCAATAGAGCCCTGGCTGGTGTGACTCAGTGGACTGAGCGCCAGCCTGTGAAACCAAAGGGTCGCCAGTTTGATTCCCAGTCAGGGCACATGCCTGGGTTGCAGGCCAGGTCCCCCGTGGGGGGTGCGCAGGAGGCAACCACACATTGATGTTTCTCTCCCTCTTTTTCTCCCTCCCTTCCCCTCTCTAAAAATAAATTAAAATATTTTTAAAAACCCAATGGAAACAGAAGGAGAGAAATAAAGAAAAAAGTGTGAAATGATGATGTAGAAAGAAACAGTAAAACTAATCTGAATGAAATAAACCCAGTAGAAATAAATGTTTAAAAAATGAAAGTAGCTACATCTATAGTTGATTGAGTCAAGAAAATAAAGGAATAAAACACACACATACTAAAAAAAGAAAGGATGACAGAGGGTAGACTTCTCACGGCACGTCTTGGATGCAGTGGTTTATGAGATATTTGGTCTACATTCACAGTTCCAGGCTCACAGACCCTAAATCCTTGGAATTTCCTAAGTGTTGGGAATGGTAAAGGTGTCTTTTGTTATATTAATGAGGTGGTTTTGGGCCCCACCAAACAGTGGCTGGTTGCCAGGTGAACCAACAAAGTGATTAGAGATTTGGGACTTTCATTCCCATCTCAGGACCTCCAGGGAGGGGAGAGAGGCTGGATGGAATTTTTCTAAAATATTTTATTCATTTATTTTTAGAGAGGAGGAAAAGAGGGAGAAAAAGGAGAGAAACATCACTGTGTGGTTGCCTCTTAAGCACACCCTACTGGGGACCTGGCCTGCAACTCAGGCATGTGCCCTGACTGGGAACTGAACCAGCGACAATTGGTTGGAAGCCTGGTGCTCAATCCACTGAGTACAGAGGGACTGAAATTAAGCTTGACTGCCAATGGCCAATAACATAGTCAATCACAAGGATGCAGTGAAGCTCCCACAAATCCCTCCCCCCAAAAAAGGGCAGTTCCTTGGCCCATTTTTGGAGCTCTCCCTCAGTGCCACCAGGCACAGGTCCCCAAGCTCCATGAGGACAGAGACTCCTTCATTCCAGACCCTGCCGAGGTGTCTCTTCCCTCGGCTATTGATTCCTATCATTGAACATCCTTTGTAATAAATCAGTAGTCCAGTAAGTAACCGGGTTTTCTTGAGTTCTGAGCCCTTCTAGCAAAGGTCGTGGGAACCTCTGATTTATAGCTGGTGGGTGAGAAGCACAGGTAACAATAACCTGGGCTCTCAAGTGGAGGGCAGTCCTGTGGGACTGAACCCCTCGCCTGTGGAATCTGTCTCTGCGTAGATGAGTCAGAACTGAGTTGACGTGTCCCACACCCTGGTGATGTTTGTTTGTTTGTTTGGGGAACATGCCCGCTCCCCAGTTAGAGCGGGAAACCCTTTTCAATCCACTTTGGTGTCTTTAGAGCTGACCTAGAAGGGGAGAGAGGGCATAAGGAGGCAAATCACTTTCAGGCCCTTTTGACAAAGCCCGAGCCCTTTTCAGGGGTGAGTGGCTGCCGCCATGGGACCTGCAGCCCCCTGAGAGAGCCTCTTTTCCAGAAGCTTTAGTCATGAGCCCTCATCTGCACTGGCACCGGATGGGGTTTGTGGAGGCCGGGTAAAGATTGCTGACTTCTCAACCCCCACACCTTACAAGGCGCCCTGGGCTTGGGCAAGGGGTAGCCCCCTCCGCAACTCCTCCCAGTTACACAGGATGGGCGACAGGAGGGCCAAGTTTGCCTTGATGTAGCTCTCAACAGGCCTAGGGCCCTGGCTGGGGCGGGGTCCTGTCCTCTGGGACAAAAGTTCAACTGCTTCCAAGCAGAGACAGCCTGAGGTCCTGGGAGCAGGGCGGGCTCCGCAGGGGGAGGGGGTGCTGCAGGGAAGACTTCCCGGAGGCGGTGTGCATGCTGGGACTTAGAGGTCGAGAACTAGCCCAGGCGGCGGCAGTCGTGGTGGAGAAGGGACTTGTAATTCCCTTGGCCCCGAAGCACCCCTGACCCTCAGAGGTCGGGCACTGAAGCTCTGCAGAGCAGGGGGTGGCGGTGACCACGTGCCAGACCACACAGTAAATGACCACTGCCCAGTGGACGCCGGAGGCCCGGCGGTCTCGACGAACAAACACTTCCTAGGAGGTTTAAAGAAACTGGTCGTTTGGACAAATGGACGTCCCGTCATTGCTAATCGCCGACCTTGTCATAGCCACCCGCCTCCCCCATTAGTGCGTGTCCCGCGTCTCGCGCCAGAGCCGCCCGTGGCCGCCCCCTGCGGGCCAGTCTGTGAACCGCTCCGCGCGCAGCCAAAGCAGGGCGAGTAGCCCCACCAGGCCCCGGCCCTGCCAGCTCGGGGATTGGCCGCTCCGAGTCAGGTGCCTCTGCCCCAGGCCAACCAGATAAGGAGGAGGAGTTTCACCGGCGCGCCTGCGGCGGGCTGGGGGCAGGGCAGACGGAGGCAAAGCGTGCCCCTCCCGACCTTCTCCTGGTCCTTCCTCTGCCCAGACGCCCCAGACCTGCTGCTCCCGCCTCCATTCCCCTCCCAGCGGCCGGAGCGAAGTTTTCAAACCCGGAAGTGACTTGTTTGGGATGGACACTGAATTCTTTCCAGGCCCTGAGGCCCGCTCCAGCCACCCTGGCCTTCTGCGTCTGCTCCCTCCTGCGCCAAGCTTTTACCGGGCCGGTGCCCTTTGCTTAGTCTGCCCTTTCCCCCCGTGCCCCTCCCCCTGCTCCTAGCTTGTTCCGACTGACCTTCCCAGAGCTGTATGGGTTAAGGTTCCTCTGGGGGCTCCTTCAGACCCCGTGCATTTTGCGTTTTCTGGCACGGAGCCCCCTGCTCTGGGGTACGGGCCTTCCTGTCTACACCGGCTGACCTTTCATCTCTGTGTTCTGCCCACCGCATAGAGCCTGGTACACCATATGCTTAATACCGTGTGCTCTGAACCAAAGAGGGTTGATGGCTAAGGAACTACCATCCCTGGCATCGCTAGAATACCAGGCCCTGAATAGGTCAGGTGCTTGTAGATAAATAGGGCCGACTGACGCTCAGTTTCGCCACAGCCCTGGGAGGGGCGCACTGGAGCCCTTTTCCTGGGGAGTCAGTGAAGGCTCCCAGAGGCTGAGTAGCTCAGGTCACCTCCGCTCGACTGGGTAGGGCAGGTCTGGGGGCCGGGGACACCTTCATGCCAGGCAGACTGGACCTCCAGGCCCCTCTGAAGGACAGGTCCCAAGGAAAGACGCATGTAGTAAGATAAATGAAAAATTTGGGTCCCAAAGGGGGCACACAGAGCAGGCTGCCCGAGTTAAAACCCAGACCCTGCCATTCCTTTGACCTTTGGCTCACACGCTGTGTCTCGGTTTACTCACCTGTGGAACGGTATGTGCCTGTTCAGGTAGTTCAGGTGGGTTATTATTTGCATTTTTAAATCTAGAAAGAAATTCTCCAATATGTGAGTGAGGTTCTTGGTGATAATTATTTTTTATTGCTCATCTGCACAGTGCAAGCTGCTTTATTTCCTGCCCACTGGAAGGTTCTGAAGTGGCTGGAACCTGTCTGCCTTAATTACTGACATATCGCAGCACCCAGCATGGCGCCTGGTGCACTGGATGTAAGGTGAGTGACCCTAAACATATGCCTGCCTTCTTAGAACACTCGCTTGAGTACAGCATAATCTACCCAAAGTGCTTCTGGGATTAGGCGGAAATACAGAGCTATGGGAGGAAGGTGACCACTAGCTGAGGGGGAGGGGCAGGCTTCCTGTTAAAGATGGTATTAGGTGCATGAGAGGCTGGGAGGGGACAGGCTTTTGTAACGATTTACAGGGGCAGAAGCTGCCACACTAAAAGCCCAGCGGTGGCGGGAGCTCAGCAGGGCGCAGCAGAAGGGGAGGGTAGGCAGGTGGTGGAGGGTCTTGCTGTGGATCTGGATTTCGCCTCAGGGCAGGGGGACCCTCGGGCACTCTGGGGCAGGAGGTCGCTGGGATTCAGATGGACTGTCAGGAAGACTGGCCCCGGAGGCCTGGCGTGGTGACCTCTTAGGGTGCCCGGTGGTCCAGCTGTGCAGCAGTAGGTCAGGGAGGATGGGAAGGAAGGGATGCGACTTCTGAAGGTGGAAGTCGATCAGGAGTCAGCCTTCCCACAGAGCAAACTCCAGGCACAGAGGGCTTCACCTGAGAGTCTCACGTGCATTTAAGGAGCACGCAGTTCCACTGACACAAACTCAGCTCAGACAAGAGGGAGCTGCCCAGCTCGGTCTGTGAGGCTGTCACCGCCTCCACACGGAGACCTGAGTGTGAAGAGGCACAGGGCCCTCATTCATGCAAAGAGATGCAAAAACCCTACACGAGCAGGAAACGGAACCCCATGAGGCTGACGTGTGAGATGGGTCAGCATTGGAGAGCAGGGTAGTCCGTCACTTAATGGGACAGGGAGAGGCCGTACTTCCTCTCTGCGGCTGCAGAGCGAGAAAATTCAAGGTCCATTCACAAGGAAAACTCGGTGGACTGGGAGTGGAAGGGACTTCCTTGCTCAGCTGCAAGAGAAGAGACAGACCGCATTTACCTCGGGGACACTAGAAGCTCTCCCTGTGAGAATGGGACTTGACAAAGAGGCTCATTGTCCCCATGTGCAGTGTGGTTCAGACTGCCTCGGAGGACCTGGCCAGGCAGTAAGGCAAGGGAAGAAAAGGGAATAAAGGGTTGACGGGAAGGCCCTGGCTGGTGTGGCTCAGTGGACTGAGTGCCAGCCTGTGAACCAAAGGGCTGCTGGTTTGGTTCCCAGTCAGGGCACATGCCTGGGTCGGAGGCCAAGTCCCCAGTTGGGGAAATGCAAGAGGCAACCACACATCAATGTTTCCCTCCCTTTTTCCCTTCCTTCCCCTCTCTCTAAAAATAAAGTCTTTAAAAAAGGAAAAACATAACTTATTCCTCGCCAATGTTATTTATAATAGTGGAAACTAGAAGAGAAAAAACCCGTATTCAGCAGTGAGGCGAAGGCTCTGCCACCTCCTAACTGCCCGAAACGGGGCAATGGTGCCCAGCAGCCCCTCGGAAGCTTTCTGGAGGAAGAGGGCAGGTTCGCTCACCTTCTTCCCTTGTGACAATGCTCCTGAGTTTGATGCCAGCTGGGCTCTGGTCACCACCCCAGGTGCATGGGAGACAATGTCCCCAGGGCTCCAAACTGCCGCCCCCCTGTTCTTCTCAGCACTGACCCCAGCGTCCTACCTCCTGTGCCTGGTGCTGCTGCACCACCCTCTTCAGCTTGCCAAGCTCCCACCTGCAGGCCCCGTCCTGAGTGGGCCCCAGCCAGATCTGGCTGTCACTGCCCAGCAAAGCCCCCTCTCCTGTTGCCACACGTCCCCAGAGCAGACAGCAGCTCCTGTCCACACACGGGCTGGGCCTGGCATCACTGCCACTGCCACCTGCCCATCCTCACTCAGGTCTGTTTGGATCGAGGACCTTTTCCTGCATTTCCTGTGCGCTGGCTGGCTCAGGGGGAAGGAGACGTGGCCTTGGTACCCAGCTGCTCACAAGGGCAAGTTAGTAACCAACCTACCAACTGGCCTCTGGACTGATGCCTGTCTCCCTGAGGCGGCCTCCACAGCCAGAGGACCCTGCCCACAGAGGCAGGTTGGAAGGAGCCTCTCCTCCTAGGGCCTCAGTCTCCCCACTTGGACGCTGCTGCAAGTTACAGGTAAGAGCCCACGCTGGAACCAGCAGAGATGGGCCACACTGTGACTTTCTGGGGGCACTTTTACAGACGTAAGTCCCTTTCAACCCAGATGGCACTTACTTGAGGTCCCACGGATTTAGTGGCAGAGATAAGAATTCAGGTTTCTGATTATGGTTACTGCTCGCCCTCCCTCCCGCTTTGCTCTGGGCCTCCTCGAGCAGGGCTCAGCGTAGGACCCCGGAGGATGGGGCAGGGCCAGGCGGCAAGCTAAGGTGCTTTATACACACAACCTCGCTACTCTCTCACAACGGCCCTGAAAGCCAGGCTGCTTTTCCCGCTGGGGCTCCCAGAGCTTAGGTCTCGTTGAAGATCACACAGCAGGGAGGAACGAGGACTGCCTCCGTTCTTCCCTTTGGTTTCCAGCTTGGATGGCATGTAAGACACAGCAACAGAAGCAGAGAATTTCAGAGCTGGAGGGGCAGATGCTGGGGAAGTCCACCTCCGGGTCCAGTGCCACTGGGACAGGGCTTCCCACCACTCGCAGAAGGTCAAGCAGAGGCCCGACCCCGAAGGCAGATCCAAAGCTGTGGGCCCATAAACCCACAAACGAACACAAGCACAGGCTGCCCAGCTTCCTCCTCTTGCTCGTGGGTCCCTCTCTTCTCCACACTCTGTCCCGGTTAACTCTGTGTCCACCACAAACCTCAAGGTCGTTAGGAAGTGGGACACAGGGCAGATTCCCATGGAAAGTAACTGCCCAGTCAAGCCCCAGGAAGCTAGCGCCATCTCGTACATTTGTCCTGCAAAGCTGGGTGGCTTCCCCACCTCCCCTGACCACGAGATAACCGTCCTACAATTCTAGAAAGAGTAGAGACGCGTTTCACAGCCTTTAACCTGATACAGATGCCTGCCTCAATCGACCTTTGTCCACAAGGCAGGCCTAGCAACCTGCCCTCGGGAGAGCCCCAGGCAGGACCCAAGGCCGGACAGAGTTCCTGGATTCGGGGTGGGTCCCGGTCGTTTGGGGGATCAGAGCCTTGTAAAACCACCCAGCAACTTGGTTTAAATCAGAGCCCCGGCCTGCTTCTGCCAAACCCGAGGCAGGTGCAGTGTGTGAATTACAGGCTGAAGTTACAGGAGAAAGTGGCAGTGCCAGTGATTGGGTTGGTCTTCCCACCCCCCAAGGCCTGGGGGCGTGTCTGCTGGCTGCCAGTGCAGCCAAAGGCGCTGCTGCTGCTGGGGGGCGTGTCCCCTGCGGGGCCTGTCCCTGTGGATTCCTCACATAGACTCAGCAATCACTGACCGAGATATGGATGGGAGGCCTGGCCAATGCACTCGTACTGGGTTGGCCCAAAAGTCTGTATGTTCTTTTTGGTAAAATAAGTCCCATTTTTCATTTTCACCAATAACTTTTAAAAAATATTTTATTTATTTATTTATCTTTAGAGGGGAAGGAGAGAGGGAGAGAAACATCAATGTGTGGTTGCCTTTCATGCGTCCCCTGCTGGGAACTGGCCTGCAGGGAACCAGCCTGCAACCTAGGCATGTGCCCTGACTGGGAATCAAACCGGCGACACTTTGCTTCACAGGCCTGTACTCAATCCACTAAGCTACACCACCTGGGGCTTTTACCTTTCTTGAAATAATAAAGCATAATATGCTGAAAACGTTGCTTGTTTTCTTCCATCTTCAATATTAAAATGGCTATACAAAAACTCACCACCAATTTTGATAAGGTTGTTTAATTTAAAAGTGCACAGCTGTCACTATGCACTCTAACAAAATTGTTTCAAATGAAGTTCAGGACGACTAAGTGATGCGGACACCGGCCCACAGTGTCCACGTCATTGTGGGTGAAATGAGACATTACACGGACGACCGAGTCCTGTGGAGGAAAAGGGACAGCATGGCTTTTCTCTCAAGGGGAGCAAAAGCCGAGGCCCTTGCTGTGACCGCCCTTCTTTGGGTTTCTGGGCACATTACATGATGGCCCTCATTTACTATGCACAGGTTTGCTTTAGGGGTTACCTTTTAGAGAAAACAAAGGAGCCAATGCCGCTAATCACATCCAGAAGAGGGATATTTGCAAATGAAAAGGCAAAAGTGGTTGAACGGGTTATACTGGTCCCAGGAAGGTTTAGCCTGGTTTTTAGGAATTTACTTTGCAGTAAATGTTTGCCACAATCCGGGTGAGGGAGTTTTTGGCAAAAAGCAAGATTCAAAGTGGCCTAGTTACACAGCGGGCCTGATCCCCGGTGGGAGAACCTATCCGTGGGCGTGGGTCCTGTGCGTCTCCCAGTGGGAGCTGAGACCATGCCACCCAGAGCCGTCTCCTACACTAAGCACTGTAGAGCCATCGTCTGGGAAAAGCCAAACAAACTTTTTGGCCAAACTGACACCTTGCAGCAAGCAGAACGGCAGATGGCAGGACCAACACCTAACTACGCACTGTGACCCGTGGAGGAGCGGCGGGAGGGGGGGTGACAGGGAGGAAAGTTGCTGCCTGGGTCTGCTCCGGGTGCTGTGTACCGGAAAGCACCACAGACATGGGGCTCGTAAAAACACGTATTTGTTTCTCATGGTTCTGGAGGCTGGAAGTCAGAGACCAGGGTGCCAGTGAGGTTGGGTTTTGGTGACAGCCCTTCCCTGGTCACAGACGACCATCTTCCGTGTCCTCACAGGGCAGAAGCAGCAGAGGAGCTCTGTGGGGTCTCTGGCACTAATCCCAAACCCTGGCCGGTAGCTCAGTTGGTTCCTGTCGTCCCCATACACCAAGGTTTCCAGTTCAATACGAGAAGCAACCGGTGAATGCATGGGTAGGCAGAACAACAAATCATTGTTTCCCTCTCCCTCTCTCTAAAAAAAAATTTAAAGATTAAAAAAAAAAAAGAGTGCAAACCTCCTTCACCAGAGCCCTACCCTCAGGACCGAATTGCCCAAAAGGCCTTACCTCCTAACAGCTAACACCACCTCGTGGGCACACCCTTGGGGATTAGGATTCCCAAGTGAATTTTGGGTGGGAAAACATTCAGCCCTTAGCAAGCAGGCTCCTTGCGGTGGGGATATTTTAGAGGGACAAGGACTAACGCAGGAGGCAGGAGTTTACATCGCTGCGGGGTGTGCTGAAACCAGTGGGCCAGAGAGCCAGGTGCGGAGCCGCCACTGGGCTGGCTGAGTGCACCAGTGTGCGGTGTGGCAGTGACCCAGGGCCTGGGCCCTGTGACCGGTGCTGCCTGCGCCCCTCGGCACCCAGGAAACCGACAGAGGTCAGGGTGGGGTGGGACGCTTTTTATGAGGTGGACACACCTTGTTGACTAGGAAACCCTCAGACCTGTGGGGTTTTTTCTAGGAGTTTCATCCAAATCGACGAGAGGCCCAGGAACAAGCTGTCGAATGCTTCCAAAAGGGAGTTTGCTGTTTCCGATTTACATTTAGAAGGAAGGTGAGAACTTAAGGAAGATGACGTGAACGTTGGAGAAAGCAGGGGGTGGGGATCGATTACAGGGCAGTTAGACTGTGCGCCTTGAGGGGCCGGAAAAACCAGATCACTGGCCCTTCCAAGCTGTGGAACCCAGAGGCACAGAAACAGAAGGGCTCCTTCGAGGCGAAGGAAAACCGTGCACTAAAAGGTTACCTGCCTGGGGCTGCACTACCTAGGATCTGCCCGGTGAGGAATTCAGGATCAGATCGCTCCGTGAGGTTACCTGGGATCACTGGGCCTGTCCGGTTTATTACAGAGCCCCTTTCCACCCTAACCCACACACACCAAAGCCTGCCTGACTTCAGCCTTCCCAGACTGGGCATCCCCCCGAAGCAGGCTAGTTTTCACCAGAAGCCTAGTTACTGGGGAGTCTGGGAAGGTTTTCCCCGGCCTGGTCCTTGTCGCCCTGAGAGCAGCTCAGGGAAGCAGCTGAGAAGGCGCCCAGCCCATCTGCTCCCCAGCCCGAGGCTGTTGGAGGGGACCCGGTTCCCAGGGGCTGGGGTGGGGAAAGAACGGAGAACAGCAGGCCCAGAGGGAGGGCCGAAGGGCGCGGCTCAGCTTTGCACTCGCAGCCCAAGCTCTGGGAGGCATTCCCAGAGCACGGCGGAGGCTCTCCTGCAGATCATTGATCCACGGGGAGAAAAATCGATGAAAGCCCGTGGACTGAAAAAGTAACTCGGGCTGGAACTTTTCTAGGGGAAAAGCACCAAACCGTAACTCATCTGCTGGCTGTATCAGTCAAGCAGCACCACGGCCCATAAATGGGCCACCTGAATGCAGACACTAACTCTACGTTGACCAGGCAGGGGCTGAGTGTCGGGGCGGGTAGGGGCGGGCAGGGAAGACAGAGGCGGGGGATGGGAGAGGAAAAATGACAAACACGCATGGGAAGTACAGGAAAGCGCAATGTAAAAAGAACGCAGGAAGAGGGGAGGGCTGGGAGCAGAGCGGGGACTCGGACAGTGAACCTCACACGTGACAGGCAGGGTGACTCTGGCCCCGCTCCAGGGAGAACCCATCCAGAGCACTGTCAACATAAGAGAGACAGTGTGGTCTGGGAGGCAGGCTCCAGCTCCTGCCACAGCTGGTGACCCGGATGTGGGTCTCCCGGCCTCCAACTTCGGGGCCTCTAACTCACGTACTTGCCCTGAGTCCAATAGGTAAGTTTGTCCTCTGCACTTTCTTATCTCCCTTGCCTTGCCTAAGGCAATGAGTGTGTGTCTTCCCATTCCTTTCCTTGTGTTCACATAATAGAAATAAATATACAGGGTCTGGTGCAAACAACACCGCCTTTTTATTACAAACTCTTTATTACAAAATCTTAAGCATGTAATTCTGTAACTCAACACACCCTATGACACTTTAAGTGAAATGTTCAGATTAGAACTATAAATTATTACACCCATATTGTTACCCTCCCAACCACACTCAAGCAGACCTTCCTTCTGCTGGGCCTGGTGTATAAGCACAGAGAGGGCGGGAGAAGGGGGCAGGGGGAGCTTTTCACAGATACTGAGGAGCACACTTAAAGCCCGAGGCCCAGGTTACAGAAACCCTGAGAGGGTGGCAGCTGTCAGAGGCAGGGAATGCCAGGAGGTGGCATCTGAGGCGGTGGCAGGTGGAGGACCCAGCAGCCAGAGCTCTGAGGCAGGAAGGGACAGACACCGCTGGGTCACAGTAGAAAACATGGAGTGTCTGTGAGAGAGACATCATGCAGGGGAGGAGTCGGGCTTTCCAGAGGGACCAGGGCTGACTTGAAATGGCCTGTGACCCGGCCCTGTGACCCGGCACAGACGCCAGGTGGCCACCTGAGGTTCAGCCCGCCCCAGCACCTCACCTGGGTGTCTCATGTGCTTGGACTGAGCACGTGAGACACGTGCAGTTCTAGCGTCTCTAGTAACTCAAACTCTATGACTACCCCCAAGTGAAAGAACTCTTCCCCCAGGAACGAGAGGTTTCCTGAAGAGTGACACTGGTCAGCTTGTCCTGGCTGCACTCTGGGGACTAAGAGCGGCTGCCCTGGGGCACTTGCTCTTTAGCGAGGTGAATTCATTGCTGCTTGCATTTTGAGTAGTTTACTGGGGGGCGGGGGGGGGGAACTGATGAGCCCCATACAACTGAGGCAGGACAGCGAGAAGCTGGGGAAATTCCACCCTGCCTGGTGTGGCTCAGTGGATTGAGCGCGGGCCTGTGAACCGAAGGGTCTCCGGTTAGTTTCCCAGTCTAGGGCACATGCCTGGGTTGCAGGCCAGGTCTGCAGTAAGGGGTGCAGGAGAGGCAACCACACATTGATGATGCTCTCCCTTTCTTCTCTAAAAATAAAATCTTGAAAAAAATTTAATCAAAATTGGTGAATTTTTGTGTAGCCATTTTAATATTGAAGATGTAAGAAAATACACATTTTTAGCATATTGTTTTAGTATTTTTTAAAAAGATTTTTATTTATCTTTAGAGGGAAGGGAAGGAGAGAGGGAGAGAAACATCAATGTATGGTTGTCTCTTGTGCATCCCCTGCTGGGAACTGGCCTGCATCCCAGGCATATGTCCTGACTGGGGATCGAACCACGATCCTTTGGTTTGCAGGCCTGTGCTCAATCCACTGAGCTACAGCAGCCAGGGTGTGGTTTGTTATTTTAAGAAAGGTAAAAACACAACTGAAATGCAAGAAAAGATTTGTGCAGTGTATGGAGAAGGTGCAGTGACTGATCCAGTGTGTCCAAAGTGTTTTGCAAAGTTTTGTGCTGAAGATTTCTTGCTGGACAAAGCTCCACGGTCGGGTAGAGCAGTTGAAGTTAATGGCAATCAAATTGAGACATTAATTGAGGACAATCAATGTTATACCACATGAGAGACAGCAACATACTCAAAATAGTCAAATCAATCAAGTTATTGGTGGCTGTGGAAAATATCTTTTTTTTAAAAGATTTTATTTATTTATCTTTAGAGGGGAAGGGAAGGAGAGAGGGAGAGAAACATCAATGTACGGTTGCCTCTCATGGGTCCCCTGCTGGGGACTGCTCTGCAACCCAGGCATGTGCCCTGACTGGGAATCGAACCGTGATCCTTTGGTTCACAGTCCTGCGCTCAATCCACTGAGCTACACCAGCCAGGGCTGGAAAATATCTTTTATTTTATGG